TCTAATACATATGCATGAGATCACCTGTAACTGCCTAAAAAGGTAAATTTTAGAGGGTAAACAGGATCAGTGGGTGTTTCAGAGACTGAGTCTAACTAGCCAATCACAGAGCAGCTATGGTCTCCTTTTAAGGAAGAATCAGTGGAGTTAATCTAGACAACAGACAGGCTGCACAGAGACACAGCCGGGCCCCTGCTGCCCCCCACCTCTACCCAAAGACACGGCTGGGCCCCTGCTGCCCCCCACCTCTACCCAAAGACACAGCTGGGCCCCTGTTACCCCCCCCACCTTTGCCCAAAGACACGGCTGGGCCCCTGGTACCCCCCCACCTTTACCCAAAGACAAGTCTGGGCCCCTGCTGCAACCCCTACCCCTACCTAAAGGCAGGAATTGGCCCCTGCTGCCCCCCACCTCTACCCAAAGACACGACTGGAACCCTGTTACCCCCCCCACCTCTACCCAAAGACAAGGCCGGGCCCCTGCTGCCCCCCCACCTCTAGCCAAAGACACAAATTGGCCCCCTGCTGCCCTCCCATCTCTATCCAAAAACACAACTGGGCCCCCCCTGCCCCCCACCTCTATCCAAAGACACGACTGGGCTCCTATTGCCCCCTACCTTTACCCAAAGACACGGCTGGGCCCCTGCCGCCCCCTCACCTGGTATTTGTGGTATTTGCTGGTAACGTGGCATTTGCTATGATGTTGCTGTTTCACAGACATGCAGGAACAAAGCCAGGCTGATAAATACAGTCGTGGGCAAAAATGTAGTCAAATTCCGTGTTTTCCTGATTTTCTGAGTGTGAATAACTGAGTGAGACACACTTCCGCACACTTTAGTGCACAGTTACTGTTTATTTACTGAACTAAACACAATGTGGGGAAAAAACATAAATGTGGTCAGTTATGACACATTTTATATCTCCTTTTTTCTACTATCGTTACGACCCGGTCGAGGGTCAGGACGTAACAGAAAATGAGAGTGGCTCTCTCCCAGACCAGCCGCCAGACCAGACACAGGACACCATTCAAAACAGAGAACTGCAGGTTTATTTAGACTTTCTTAAAAATATGCAAGTTTGCACACGGCCAAGCTGAATGGGGACTAGTGACTTCAGGGGTGAACGTCTGGCAAAATAATGAACAAACAACACTAATAATTTAAACCCAACTAAACTAAAAACAAAAGAAACAAAAAGACAGAGTGAAGTGAAGAGTGCCGAGCTGGTCTGGACATGATCTTCCAGGTCACACGAGAGGGGAGAGAGCCCAGAACATCTGCTGAGATGGTGGCTTGGTGCCCCTTTATACAGGAGTGCGCCCCATGTGGCCAATCATGGACCTGCAGTTAATACAACCAGAGGGTAAAAAAAAACAAAATTGCCACAGACACAGAAAAGTTACTTGGGCCGTAGCACAATGTTAATCTCAGTAAATACACTGTGCACTAAAATGTGCTATATTACATCTATATTATATATAACTTCCACTTATTTTACATACTAATTTGACTACATGTGCCCAAACATTTGCATATGATTGCATGAAGAGCAGCAGTTTCAGTCAAATGTCTGAGCACCTGTACAGATGCAGGGTTTCTCACAATTTTCCACCTCAGTCAAACGTTTTGGACACAGCTGCTTGTTTGTTTAGATTCCTTTAAGACTTTAAAGTTTTAAAGTTGTTCCTAAGACAAATTTAACTATTCAGAGTGACGCCTCTGTATGTATTTATATATTTTTGTAAGCAAGATTTTTTTTGAACAAGTAGTTTTCATTTAGTACTTGAACAAGGAAATGTAGAGTTGCAACCACGATGATTGTATAATCCTAGTTACTATGCATATCTCAAAACAAAGGTAGTGTAACGTTGGTCCTTGTTAATGCATTCCAGTCAGTCAGCTGTGTTGTGATGAGGGAGGGAGCGGCAATAATAATAAAAAGAGATGTGACACAGTACTTTGAAGCTTTTAAACAGGAGACTTTAGATTACGTTTAAGATAACAAAGAACATGTATTTGATCATATGAGACCTGAAATGAACCACAGACACTGTTCATTATACAAACTCTTGATTTTATTGATCTCTATGAGCTTTGAGGATCATCTTTATAGGGCTCCAGGTCTTCATGACATGTAGTGGAGATTCAGGATCCTCACTTGGTTGTTCTGGTTTCACTGGATGTGGAGGAGGATGAACTGACCACTTTACCGTCCGCCACTTCTTCTGTAACAATCACCACCTTTCGAGTGGTAGATGACTGTGTGCTGTAAGAGCGAAGAGAACTGTGTGTCAGGAAACTGGAATTTTAAATAATGATGCTTACTTTCATACTGAAACTTCGTCTGATGTTCTACATGCTAAATTACTAAACCATGTGACTGTTAATTAACTGTAATAGCCAATTTCTCAGCCACAGCATTCCCGGAGACCACCTGTCTTCTTTGCACAGAACCTCACATTAAAGCAACACTATGTAGGACTTAAGGATTTGGAGACCTCTCTGGTGGAAATATGTAACTGCACACAACGCATGGAATATACTTTTATAATTTTGTACCGTGGGTTGTGCTACTATTGTCATCATATCTTTGTCAGTATGATTTCGATTCTGAGATCATTTGAGGCCGAAACATCAAGCCGGACCTTCTTTTAGAGTCTGTGTGTGATGTTAATACATAAAGACAAACAATGTGGTGTGAAAAACTCGACGCCTCTGACTTTAAAATGATTATTTCAGGCGTTACAGGCGACTCACAGCAGCAGCAGCTCAGCATATTTTAGCCTGTTTATATTCTCCTCACTCAGTAACGACACTTCATTCGGTTTTAACAAAAAGTATTTGACAGTGCAGCTTCAACCCAGTGGTTCTAACCAGAGTTCCCCCTACAATTAAATTCCTTTCCCGGGGTTGCCATGACCATAATTACACTTTGTGTTTGCTATTTTTGCTACATGCTATTTGGCAGTGAGAGTCTTACGTGGTGGTGCTGGTCTCTCCATCCAGCAGTCTTCTGTACTCGGCGATCTCCAGCTCCAGTCTGGTCTTCACGTCCAGAAGCATCTGGTATTCACGACTCTGGCGCTCCAGATCAGCGCGGAGCTGCACCAGCTGTTCTTCTAGACTGGTAACCTGCACCTGGTAGCCAGCTAGCATTCTAGCGTAGCGGCTCTGGGTCTCAGCGAGGGTCGTCTCAAGAGAAGCTTTCTAAAGAGTCACAGAGGAGGTAGAGTGTTCATCTGCATTGGAACCAGCTGGAGATCATTTAAACAGAATGTAGGAGATGTGTTTATGCAGGAGAAGTGTGGGAGCTCTCACCATGCTGAGCTGAGACTGCAGCTCGATCTCTAGACTCTGCAGTGTGCGCTTGACTTCTGTTATTTCTGATCTGGACGTCTGGAGGGTTTCTGTGCTGATGGCGACTTCTTTGCTCAGTGCTTCACTCTACAAAGAAAAGATCTTACAGTCAGATTCTTCTGCTGTGAAATTCAGTTAAGATAGACTCTTAAACATGGACTGTACTCTGGTGTGAATGTACCTTGGTCTGGAACCAGGTCTCAATTTCTTTACGGTTCTTTGCCACCACGGCTTCGTAGTGTTCGCGGATTCCGGCCAAGACGGCAGAGAGGTCTTCCTGTGGTGCGGCGTCCACTTCCACATTGACCTGACCACCCATCTGAGAGCGCACTGCCAAGAGCTCCTGAAACAGAGCAAGCAAAAGACGTGTGTTATGCATGTTTATACGTTCTAAGGTTACGTTCACACGCAGGTAAAAATGGCCCAAATCCAATTTTTTGTTAGGCTGCTTGTATCTGTCATTAGTCTGAACAGATCACACTCCTACACATGCCCAAAAGAACAATGCTTCATGAGGCACACTCATTTAGATATGAACAACCATGACTGCCAAAGAATGCAGGTTTAGAAGTTTCAATTTCATCTTCAGCAGCAGTTCCAACGGCTGACAGCTGAGCTCATCACCCTGATTGTTTTCAAACATGTTTTTCGGTTACGGTCAGTCCTTTTTTTCATGTCCTTAGTTTCCTTAAATTTTGCTTTCAGACTTCTTTGCTGCTGCAGCCTCGTTCTCCTAGGGCTGCGTTCAGCCATTTCTTACAAAATCTCTTCAAACACACATCGGTTGCGATGAGTGTTTACTTTTTTGCACAGAAACATCGGCCCAAATGTTTGGTGTCACAGCAGCGTGAAATATAAGGATGTCCAGTTAGATTGTCATAAAATTCGCATGCATTCCACTCTGGCTGTTCAGTGCCATTCAGGATTTCAGTACCACATATGAAAGTTTCCGAATCAGAACTGAAAATGGCAGATCCAGTGTTTTTTTTGTTCACACTGACACACAGATAACACCTCTGTGTGATTTATGAAGAAATAGATCAGATTTGGGACACTTTTACCTGCAGTCCGAATGTAGCCTTAGTCTTTGCCTGCCTCATAAAGCAAGTGTTATCAGATGAATTCTAAAGTACCTCCTCATGGTTCTTCTTCAGGTGGATCAGCATATCCGTCAGACCCTCGATCTGAATCTCCAGGTCTGATCTGACCAAGGTCATCTTATCCAGAACTCTTCTCAGCCCAGCGATGTCGGCCTCCACAGGCTGTCTCATGGCCAGCTCATTCTCGTCAGGTCAGAAGGTTGGATGTTGTCACAATCACAGTTCTCTTTGTTTCAGGTCTGAACTAAAGCTGAGATGTAGCAAATCTTAAACGCTGGTGTTGTATTTCATAGCGTTTCTAGATGATTCACTTACTTGACTCTGAAGTCATCAGCTGCCAGCTCGGCGTTATCAATGCCGAGATAGATTCCACCATTCACTGTGGTGGCATTCTGGATCTACAGAATACAGAGAAAGAAAGACGTCAGTGTAAATCTGAAGCTGTGGTTCCCAACCCAGTCCTCGCGGACGTCCAGGTGGATCATATTTTTGTTCTAATCTGGCTCTCGGCACACAAGAACTAGGTATTCGATTTGGAGGGAGTTTGAATACGGCAAAAGTGTGGACTGTCTGAAGTTCCCTGAGGACTGGGTTAGGAACTAATCCTTTAATGAAAGTCTTAAGCTTAAGATTAAAAGGTTTTGCTCAGATATCATCCAGTACAATTCGTATTCATAGCTTTTATTCTGCTCAGGTTTTGATGCCTTTTCTAGTGCTGGGCTTAAGACATGCTAAAAGTAACTAATGAAGTGATGCATTGAAGGTTGAGATCAGTCCAGGAATAATAAGCTTTCTAAGTCTGCAGGGTTTGGGTTAGATTAGGTTAGAGTTAGGGTTTTATATCCATATAGGTTCTTATGAATTTTTATTATGTAATGCTAGTTTTAGTTATTAAAACAGTCCACATGTCTGGTTTGCTTTACTTTTGCATTAAAGGTCTTCATCTACAGTTTCTTGCTCCTGAAAGCCAGAGCTAAAATCTTGAAGAACAAGTAACATGATCCAACACTTGACATGATCCACATACCTTGGCCTGGAGGTCACTGATGGTGGCGTAGTATGCGGAGTAGTCCCGAGCCTTAGGGGAGGCCTTGCTCTCCAGGAACTGGCGGATCTTCAGCTCCAGCTCAACGTTGGCCTTCTCCAGGGAGCGCACCTTCTCCAGGTAGGTGGCTAGACGGTCATTGAGGTTCTGCATGGTGGCCTTCTCATTTGCAGACACATCCAGGGCGTTGACCAGGTTGAAGCCCCTTGCACCTCTACCAACGGTGGAGACACGAACCCCAGAGCCTCCAGCTCCACCATACATGCTGCGGGTGGTCATGTTGAATGAGCGAGCTGTGAAAGAGGCAGAGGCCAAATTTTTGGCATTTTTGGAAGGGTCAGAGGGGGTGAAAAAACGGGCAGAGGAACTGGCGAACATGGTACTGCTGGAGATTGTTACTTTATGCTCAGGCTGGAGGGGAATGAGTGGAGAGTGGAGGAAACCCGCTGCCTTTAACCCCGCAGGGGAGGATCTGGAAGGGTGGCCTGGGGGAATGTTCCACCCCTTAGGCCAATTCCTCGGAACCAGACAAAGCTGTTATTAAGAAAACATTCCAGCCAGGACTTAATGAGCAATGAGATGAAGATTCATAGGAAGGTTAAAAATAAATAAAAATGAAAACAATCACGCAGAGACTTGATAAACAGTAGTTATGTTGAAGTGCTGTGTTGCATGATATCGCTCATTATTCTCACGGTGTTGTTTGACAAACAGCTGAGGGAGCCTCAGGCACTTTCATAATGCACCTACATTCATGCATATATTTGTAAACTATTACATTTGTTCCGGTGTTTTGTAAGGGGCTTGTAAATTCCATACATTTGTTAGCTCATACTAATGAACATACTAATATCTAGTGATATGTACTGCATTTTAGAATAATAGACACCAAAACTACGGTGGATTTTAAATAACCGAGTTCAAACCAGACAGCAGAGATGCACAAAGATGAGCAAAAGCAACACAGCAAACTTAAAAATCAAAACCTATTTATTGTAGGCTAAAGCATACTGCCACGGCGGGCATAAAAACATTTATTACACTGCAAAAATTGGCATCTTAAGTTTATCTAGCTTATTTCTATATACTAATAAAAGTAATTTTATTAGGTAAAATTCTCTCAATATACTGGCAGATAATTTCACTGGTTTCAAGCACATTTCTTAAAACAAGCACATTTCTTAAAATCTGCCAATATAGTGAGATAATTTTACTTAATAAAATTACTTCAAACAAGTAAAGATGTTTACAAATAAGATACATAATCTTAAATTAAGCTTACAACAGTCTCAACAGAAGAAATATTAGATAAATTGACTAGATTTAAAATAACTTTTCTTGACCAGATACCATTTTTTCCAGTGTATCCTATTATGTCTTACCTGTGATGACTCGATGCACTCGTTTGCTTTGATATTTTCACAAAGCCCATTTCAGCCTTTCTATTAAATGAGCTTTGTAAGTACCAAATACATAGAAAACTCACTTTTGAACACCCCCAGTTACACCTTTTAACCGCGACTGGAGCATTAAATTCTAACAGAGGCGTGCTGATAACAAACCGAAGGCTTGAGGCGATGATAGATAGCAACAGTTGATAAACAGTGACTGGAAAGCTGAGAAAACAAGGTGGAGCTTGTCAGAAAGTGTAATGCTTTGATGGGGCATAATACAACGACAGCACTCACAGAAAACAAGTCAAATTTCATCATCTTCAAAAATTGTGCTTAATATGTTTTCTTTACCCATTTGATTAATTAGGCCTGTGATCAGTCGGGATAGATCCAGGCTTCAACAGGCCTACCTGTGGCTCCACCCCTCATCTGAAGGGGTACAATCAGTTTTTTGGTACTTAATGTTGCTTAAAGCCTATGTGGCCATAAATCTGAGTATTATAACATGGTGACCAGTCCAGTCAGGCTGAAGCCCAGTTCCTCTGAGCTGTAATGTTGTGTGACCAGTTTCTATTGAACCACATTGGGGTGTTTTGGTTCCTCTCAGCGGTTCTTTCTCTTGCTCTTAGGGAGTTTTTCTTGGGGGCTCAGACCCCCCTCTTTAAAGCTGCTTTGTGACAGCGCCTGACGTAAAAAGCGATATAATAAATAAACTTTGACTTGACTGATGCAGAATTACTGTTTATTTGCTGAATTTAGATAATTGGGGGAAAAAAATATATGGCCTGTGCAAAAATTATGGCACAATTTATATTTTATACATTTTTGTCAATATGTTGAACTCAGCAAATAAATAGAAATTATGCTCTAAATTTATATATATTTATAATATATATATTAAGTTGTTCCCTGTAGAGGATGTTGACTTATTTTCATTTATTTTATTTACTAATTTGACCACAAACTGCTGCATTCAACTGCTGTCTGACAGAAGATTATAGTTCCAGTCAAAAATCCAGGCACATGAAGGGTTTTTCTTCATTTTCTACACCAGTAAAAAGTTTGGACACCTGATTTATGCTTTTCACTTTTCTTAAAGACATTTTGATCTTAAAAACTTCTGCTTCAAAGTTTCTAAGATGTTTCTAAGACAAATATAACTATTCCAGTTGATGCCTATGTAGGAATTTACTTCGTTCGTTTTTCATACAAGTAGTCTTCATGTAGGACTTGAGTAGGAAATGTAGTGTTGGAACCACGATTATTATATCATCCTAATTACTATACATGTTAATTAGTGTAATGTCAGTCCTCGTTAATGCGTTCCAGCCAGTCAGCTGTGTTGTGATTTCATAGTTTTGATGTTGTGATTATTATTGTTTTTATAAAATGTGGACAACAGTAATAAACAAAGAAGAAAACCTGTTTTATGAGTAGGTGTGTCCAAACTTTACATTGCTAGTGTGACCAATACGTGACACAATACTTTAAAGCTATTAAACACTAAACCCCAGATCATGTTTAAGATAATAAAGCACATGTATTTGATCATATTAGCCTGAATGATTGACTGATTCTGTAATTGTTTGTGAATCATTTAAGTCTGAAATGAACCACAGACACTGTTCATCGTTTAAACTCCTGATTTTATTGATCTCTATGAGCATTAAGGATCAATTTCATATGACTCAGGGTCTTCATGTCACATAGTGGAGTTTCAGGGTGAACTGACCACTTTACCGTCCACCACTTCTTCTGTAAGAATCACCTCCTTTCGAGATGACTGGGTGCTGTAAGAGTGAAGAGGATTGTGTGTCAGGAGACTGGAGTTGAAAAGAGTCACGCTAACATTTCCAACTACACGACTAAATGCAACATAAATGTAAATGTAAATGAAACGTAGAGTACATGTCAATAAGTAACATTTTTTTATTTTTAAACTATGATGCTACTTATGAACATCATAAAGTGCTTTGCAGGACTTTTATATTGAAATCCTAAACCACTAAACCATGTGACTGTTAATTAACTGTAATAGCTAATTCTTCAGCCGCACCATTCCTGGAGAACATTTGTCTTCTTGGCAAAAAACTTTACATTATAGCAACACTATGCAGGATTTGGGGATTTGGAGACCTCTCTGGTGGAAATGTGTAATTGCATGTAACATTTGTGCTTTGGACCCCCCCAGTGGATGAGTCTGACTTTTGCGAGTGCGTTTAAAGAGAATTCAGAGAGAGCTCAGTCTAAACCTGGTGAAGGAGCATCTTCTGAGGATGTGAGTGAATTATCTACTATAGTCATCACATCGTCATCAGTATGATGTTAATTTTGAGATCATTTGAGGCCGAAACACCGAAGTGGACCTTCTTTTAGAGTCTGTGCTTGTTATGTTAATGTGTAAAGATGTACGATGTGCTGTGAAAAACCCTCAAACAAATCTGTCCCAGTACATCTGACTGTTAAATGGTTATTTCAGGCTTTACAGGGCGACTCTCACCATATTTTAGTGTGTCCTTTTTTCTCCCCACTCAGTATTTCTACTATTTTCTGTAGTGAGAGTCTTACGTGGTGGTGGTGGTCTGTCCATCCAGCAGTCTTCTGTACTCGGCGATCTCCAGCTCCAGTCTGGTCTTCACGTCCAGAAGTATCTGGTACTCGCAACCCTGGTGCTCCAGATTAGCGCGGAGCTGCGCCAGCTGTTCTTCTAGACTGGTCACCTGCACCTGGTAGCCAGCGAGCATTCTAGCGTAACGGCTCTGGGTCTCAGTGAGGGTCGTCTCAAGAGACGCTTTCTAAAGAGTCACAGAGGAGGTAGAGCATTGAAACTGGCTGGAGATCATTTAAACAGAATTTAGGAGAAGTGTGGGAGCTCTTACCATGTTGAACTCAGAGTCCCGGTTAATTTCTAGACTCTGAAAGGTACGTTTGACATCTGTTATTTTTGATCTGGACGTCTGGAGGATTTCTGTGCTGATGGCGACTTCTTTGCTCAGTGCTTCGGTCTACAGAGAAATAATCTTACAGTTAGTTTCCTCTGCTATGAAGCTCATTGAAGATAGACTCTTAAACATGGACTGTACTCTGGTGTGAATGTACCTTGGTCTGGTACCAGGCCTCGATTTCTTTATGGTTCTTGGCGACCACGGCTTCGTAGTGTTCGCGGATTCCAGCCAAGATGGCAGAGAGGTCTTCCTGTGGTGCAGCGTCCACTTCCACATTGACCTGACCACCCATCTGAGAGCGAATTGCCAAGAGCTCCTGAAACAGAACAAGCAAAAGACTTGTGTTATGCAAGTTTATACGTTCTACGTTCACACAGCAGATAAAAGGGTCCCAAATTCGATTTTCACAATATCTGTGTAATGTAACCTGTATCTGAATTAGTCTGAACAGATCACACCCCTGTCCAAAAGAACAATGCTTAATGAGGCACAATCATTCAGAGGTAAACAACCATGACTGCCAATGAATGCAGGTCTAGAAGTTTCAGTTTCATCTCAGGAGTAATCATGCAGTTCCAACGGCTGACAGCTGGGCTCATCACCCTGAGCTCGCTGTAAAAGGGCACGTTATTCAGCCACGGACACTCCTTTGTTTTGTGTCCTTTCTTCAGTCTTGGTTTCTGTGAAGCTGAAAATGTCGTATTCAATGTGTTTTTGCTGTTCAATGTGCCACACAGATAACACACCTGTGTCACATCTGAAGAAAAATATTGGATTGAGCCACTTTCAGGTTTTGCCTGCCTCATAAAGCAGCCAAGTGTTGTCAGATGAATTCTAAAGTACCTCCTCATGGTTCTTATTTAGATAGACCAGCTCCCCCCTCAGATTCTCAATCTGCATCTCCAGGTCTGACCTGACCAAGGTCATCTTATCCAGAATCTTCCTCAGCCCAGCGATGTCGGCATCCACTGACTGTCTCATGGCCAGCTCACTCTCATGCCTGGTCAGAAGGTTGGATGTTGTCAAAGTCACAGTTCTGTTCATTTCAGTTCTGAACTAAAGCTGAGATGTAGCAAATCTTAAACGCTGGTGTTAAATAGCATTTCTAGATGATTCACTTACTTGACTCTGAAGTCATCAGCTGCCAGCTTGGCGTTATCAATGCTGAGATAGATTCCACTGTTCACTGTGGTGGCATTCTGGATCTACAGAATAGAGAGAAAGAAAGACATCAGTGGAAATCTGAAGCAACCCAGTCTTTGTTGACGTCCAGGTGGTCTGTATTTTTTCCAGTCTAGCTCTCAGAATACATGAGCTAGGTATTCAATTTGGTGGGAGTTTAGTACAGCAAAAGTGTGGACTGTCTGGGGTTCCCTGAGGACTGGGTTAGGATCTAATCCCTTCATAAACGAATAAAAGGCTTTGGCTCAGATATCATCCAGTATAATTCACATTCATAGCTATTTGTCTGCTCAGGTCTTGATGCCTTTTCTAGTAGGAGGGTAAAACATGGTAGAATTAACCAATGATATAATGCATTGAAGTTTGAGATCAGTCCAGGACTAACAAGACTTCTAATTCTGCAGATAATTTAAACATTTTTTTGGACTTGATTTTCTTGGTAGAGGAAGACAGGAGTAAGGTATAAGTAACATGATCCAACACTTTAGACCTACCTTGGCCTGGAGGTCACTGACGGTGGCGTAGTATGCAGAGTAGTCCCGAGCCTTGGGGGAAGCCTTGCTCTCCAGGAACTGGCGGATCCTTAGCTCCAGCTCAGCATTGGCCTTCTCCAGGGAGTGCACCTTCTCCAGGTAGGAGCCCAGACGGTTGTTGAGGTTCTGCATGGTGGCCTTCTCATTTGCAGAGATGTCCACGGCGTCAGCCAGGTTGAAGCCACTTGTAAAGCTGCTGCCGGTGGAGATACGAATCCCAGAGCCTCCAGCTCCACCATAGACGCTGCTGGCCCTCCTGCTGCCCAGATGGAAGCCGCTGGAGGCAGAGTGCACAGGGCTGGCCCTCATAAAACCGGCGGAGGAGACGAGGCTGTAGCTGGAGAAGTTGGAGGCCATGGTGCTGCTGGAGATTCGGTTCCCTTCTGCTCAGGCTGGAGGTGAATGGGTGGAGAGCGGAGGAAACTGGTCCCTTTATGCCTGCAAGGAAGAATCCGGAAGGGTGGCCTGGGATAATGTTTGACATTTTAGGCCAATTCCTTGGAACTAGACAAATCTGTAATAATAAAAACAATCGAGTGTGGACATGATGAGCAGTGAGATAAAGGTTCATAGGAAGGCTAGAACGAAAGGTAAAAATGAAAACTACCAGCAGGGACTTGATAAACAGTTATTTTGAAGTTACATGATATCTCACCCCTTATTTTCACAAACAGCTGATGGAGCCTCAGGCACTTTCTTAATGCACCTGCATTCATCCACACATTTGTAAACCCATACAGTTGTCCAGTTTCTTTGTAAGGAGCTTGTTAATCCAGTACATTTTATAGCTCATACTAATATGCGTACTATATCTATCTATCTATCTATCTATCTATCTATCTATCTATCTAGTGATTGTTCTTTATTGTAAAATAACAGTTAAGACACCAAAACTACACTGGATTTGACTTAACTGAGTTCAAATCTGACAGCAGAAATCGACAAAGACTAGGAAAAACAACACAGCAAACTTAAAAATCTAAACCTATTCATTGTAAACTAAAGCATACTGCCACAGTCGGCATTAAAATGTTTATGGTACATTTATGCCTTACCTGTGATGACTCGAAGCACTGAAGTAATGTTAGACATTTGTTTTAATATTTTTACAAAGGCCATTTAAGACTTTGTGGTAAAAGATCCTTTGTAAGTATCAAATACACAGGAAACTCTGTTTTAAACACTCTGGGTTACAACTGGAGCTCCAAATACGAACACCAGCATGCTGATAACAAACCGAAGACTTAAGGCAATGGCGGATAGCAATAATTGCAAAGCAGTGATTGGAGGGCTGGGAAAAGAAGGCAGAGCTTGGTGGACAGTGTAATGATTTGATTCGGCATAATGCAACGACAGCACTGACAGAAAAAAAATCTAATTTCATTATCTTCAAAAATTATGCTTAATAAATGCACTTTTCCATTTTGATTTGGAAATCCAGGCTTCAACTGGGCTAAATGTGGCTTTGCCCCACATCTGAAGGAGAACAGCCAGTTTTTTGGCACTGACTTTCTTCATGTTGTTAACAGGAATACCAGTATTGGTGATACAAATTCAGAATACAAAAATTATGTCCAAATTTCAGTCTATGTCACATTTTGATGAAGCAATATTGAGAAAACAATCATTTAATTTTTTGGGACAATACATTTGGACTACTTAACCACTAAATTTCAATCATCTATACCATCACAATCAATACTTGTTTATTAACTACATTAAAATCAGCAAACAGCATGTGAGGCTCCTACTAAAGCCTGAGTAGACTGATAAATCAATGTGATCAGTTATTATTCTGTAATACTGAGCTCTGCTAAAGCCTGAGTAGACTGATAAATCAATGTGATCGGTTATTAATCTCAGTGTTACTGAGCTCTGCTAAAGCCTGAGTAGACTGATAAATCAATGTGATCGGTTATTGATCTCAGCGTTACTGAGCTCTGCTAAAGCCTGAGTAGACTGATAAATCAATGTGATCGGTTATTAATCTCAGTGTTACTGAGCTCTGCTAAAGCCTGAGTAGACTGATAAATCAATGTGATCAGTTATTAATCTCAGCGTTACTGAGCTCTGCTAAAGCCTGAGTAGACTGATAAATCAGTGTGATCGGTTATTAATCTCAGTGTTACTGATCTTACTCAGAGATTTCTCCATCTGCCGTATCACTTTACATTCTAAATGTATTGTAAATATGTAAATTTCTATGTATTTTAATGGAATACGTTACTGAATACATTTAGCCCAGTGTGTTAAGCATGGGCATTCATAGGCAAATTTTAGGGGGGTTTTAGCCCCCCTTTCCTAAGTGAATGTACATTACTAGTCTAAATCATCTGTAGTTTATTCTCATCACAACGTACTGTAATAGCAGGGCACGACTTGTGGGAGGCGCTGCTGCTGCTCTACTGCAGCACTGCCTCTGCTCTAATACCAGATATTGACTAATATAATGTTCAGCCAATCATATCAGACCTGAAATGTTGTAAGCCAATCATACCGGGGGGAGGGACTCTGTTCATGCACTGCACAGTAACTGAGCTGAAGATGGGATTTTGGCTAAAAGACTTTCTTCAAAATCTATAATATACAGAGTTAAACTGAATTAAATAGCTTGAATATCCATCTCCAGTGTGGATTTGTGGCAAAGACAGCTAGTTGAACAACTAGTTTAGAGTGTCTAGTTTAATCTCACTTCATAGAGAGAGAGAAAGGAACGAGAGGCACAGAAATCACGTCATTGACAGCTTTTTATGTACCTTGTTATCAGGTTTTCTTCAGTATTTGAAACAGTGACTCCAGTATTTGCTGTATAATGTTGTTTACAGTCAGTTAATGTCAGTGAAGAGGACGAGGCTGAAGTTGCTGCCTATTCTCCAGATTCCTGCTTGAGTTTTCTGCTGCGAGGCGCCAGAATGAAACTGCTGCAGCATTTAAGGTGGAACGGAAGAAGCTGATTCAGCTTTGTGTGAAACGGTCATCAAAACACAGTTTATATCCCTCAATTCCTCAACCTGGAGATGGACATTAAGAGGCAACAGCTCCACTGAATTCCAGTCAGATGAGGAGATTTTTATCAGTTAAAACAAACAAAGAATGAATTGATTGATCATTATCCCCTTAGGTTCTTGTACGTCTGAGTTTAGTAAATGAATGTATTACTGAACACGGGAAGAGGGAGAGAGAAGCTGAAGGAGACTGACGGGACTGATGGAGCAGATCTGATGGAGGTTGGTGATGAAGAAGAAAGTAAGGGTTGTAGAAGCTTTCGGTTTAAATTAATACTAAATTTAATTTAACTTAACTGAAAAAATATATTTGCCAACACGAACATGAAGCCCTGTCACCCAGCTTATTAAACATGCCTACAAAGCAAAATCACACTCTTTCTGATTGACCAACTGAGACTGAACTGATCTGTAATCTGTGTATTTGAGAAATACATTAAGGACCTGCAGCTGACCTAAGAGAGCAGACAGCACTGCTGGACTTCAGCACCTTCGCCTGATCTGTGTCTGTTGTAACTGGATGGTACAGTGTTTGTTATACTGGTTCTGTGTTTAATACAAACTATGAATATTCAAATCTACTGTGATCAAATCTACAATTTGACCAAATAACCATTTTTTGATATACGTATCACGGCTGATGTACTTGACATTTTCTGTCTGTTGCTTCTCTGAAAGTGCATTATAAACATTTTGGGGCCGATACAAAGTCCTCTTTGGGGAACAAGCCCCCAGACCCCCCTAGTACAGGCTTAGCCCCCCATCTACGAACCTCTAGTGACGCCCTGGTGTTCAGTTTTCAGCCATCACTACTTTTTGTATTCTGCCCAACACTGACAGACCCACACCAATCAGCACCTACAGCCCACATAAATCCCGCCCACTCTGCCACCTGTGGGACATTGGGAATTCCAGATGGTTGCTGTGTCACAGACAAGCAAGAACAAAACCGTGCTGGCAAACAAAGTCGTGTGCAAAAGTTTGGGCAAAATTCCATGTTTTTTTGATTTTGTAAGGAAAAAAACAGAGAAGAGACTCCGGCATGTTTTAATGCACACTCACTGCTTATTTGCTGAATTGAACATATTTGGGAATAAAAATAAAAGACATGGTCTGTGCAAAAGTTATTTAGATTTTATGTTTCATTTTTTCCCAGTATGTTAAACTCAGCAAATAAATAGAAATTATGCTCTAAAATTTTCCATATTTCAGTTTATTGCCTGAAGAGGGTGTTCACTTATTTTCAAACGTAGTGTTGGAACCACGATTATTATATAATCCTAACAGCGTTTCTCATGTCACGCCTTCCGTAACGGAGACTGACACTCCTCACTCCGTTCAGCACTCCGACTCCCAGAATCCACTGGGATGTCACATGAACACAAACTCTCAGCAGTCCACCTATCAACGCTCACCTGCTCACCTCATTATTAATTTCTGACACCTGTTGTATGGACTACATATGTTTGTTTGCACCAGTTCCTGAGCATTAGCGAGCCTTTGCTTCTGTGTATTGACTTTCCGGTTTGTGTTTCTGCTTGTCTTTTGTTTACGACTTTAGCCTTTGGACTCTGTTGGCCCTCGGGTGTACCGACCCTCGCCTGTGCTGCACTTTGATTTTGGATTCTCCCTTTATTGAACCCTTTTTACTTTAGTCTGCTCTGCATGCGTCTGACTATTCCCCAGCCGTCACCTCTCATTAAAAGCGAATTAGTGGAATGTCGGTTCTCATTAATGCATTCCAGCCAGTCAGCTGTGTTGTAATGGGGGAGGGCGGGGCCTAAACAGCCCCGTTTAACAGAAGGCCGATTTTCTGATGGGAGTCATTCCATATGATGTTGTTATTATTATTATTATTATTATTATTGTTATTAAAACTGTTTTATGAGTAGGTGTGTCCAAACATGCACACTTTCAAGCTTTCAAACATAAGACTTTAGATAAGGTTATGAAAATAAATTCATTCGATCGTGTGAGTCACATTGTGTAAGTGTTGGTCAATCACTGAACCACAGACACTGTTCATTAATTAAGATCTTGATTTTATTGATCTTTATGAGCTTTGAGGATCATCTTCATAGGGCTCTTGATCTTCATGCCACGTAGTGGAGATTCAGGATCCTCACTTGGTTGTTTTGGTTTCACTGGCTGAGGAGGATGAACTGACCACTTTACCGTCCACCACTTCTTCTGTAACAATCACCACCTTTCGAGTGGTAGATGACTGTGTGCTGTAAGAGTGAAGAGAACTGTGTGTCAGAGGGTGGAGCTGTACATAATGATAGTAACATTTCTAATTACATGACTAAATCCACCCATTGTAAAGTGTAAAGCAGGACTTTTATACTGAAATTCAGTCTGACGTTCTACGTCCTCAACCACTTTAGCCATGTGACTGTTCATTTATTAAATAAGCTGTTTTCTCAGCTACACCATTCCTGGTGAACATCTGTTTTCCACACACTAACTCACTGGTTCTAACTGGAGTTCCCCCTCAGAAATTACACTTCTTGTTTACCATAATTACTATACATCAGAGAAATCAATGTTCTTGCTAACTGCTACACACTAATCTGTAGTGAGAGTCTTACGTGGTGGTGGTGGTCTCTCCATCCAGCAGTCTTCTGTACTCGGCGATCTCCAGCTCCAGTCTGGTCTTCACGTCCAGAAGCATCTGGTATTCGCGACCCTGGCGCTCCAGATCAGCGCGGAGCTGCGCCAGCTGTTCTTCTAGACTGGTCACCTGCACCTGGTAGCCAGTGAGCATTCTAGCGTAGCGGCTCTGGGTCTCAGCGAGGGTCGTCTCAAGAGAAGCTTTCTAAAGAGTCACAGAGGAGGAAGAGTGTTCATCTGCATTGGAACTGGCTGGAGATGGCTAGAGAATGTAGGAGATGTGTTTATGCAGGAGAAGTGTGGGAGCTCTCACCATGCTGAGCTGAGACTGCAGCTCGATCTCTAGACTCTGCAGTGTGCGCTTGACTTCTGTTATTTCTGATCTGGACGTCTGGAGGGTTTCTGTGCTGATGGCGACTTCTTTGCTCAGTGCTTCGCTCTACAGAGAAAAGATCTTAGTCAGATTCTTCTGCTGTGAAATTCAGTTAAGATAGACTCTTAAACATGGACTGTACTCTGGTGTGAATGTACCTTGGTCTGGTACCAGGCCTCAAGGTCTTTGCGGTTCTTGGCGGCCACAGCTTCGTAGTGCTCGCGGATTCCGGCCAAGACGGCAGAGAGGTCTTCCTGTGGTGCGGCGTCCACTTCCACATTGACCTGACCACCCAACTGTGAGCGCACTGCCAAGAGCTCCTGAAACAGAATGAACAAAAGACATGTTATATATGTTTATATGTTCTAAGTCTTTGCCAACCAAGTGGTTTCAGTCCAATGCTAAAGTACCTCCTCATGGTTCTTCTTCAGGTAAATCAGCTCATCCCTCAGACCCTCAATCTGCATCTCCAGGTCTGACCTGGCCAAGGTCAACTCATCCAGAACCTTCCTCAGCCCAGAGATGTCGGCATCCACAGACTGTCTCATGGCCAGCTCATTCTCGTACCTGGTCAGAAGGTTGGATGCTGTTAGTTTCAGGTCTAAACTGAAGCTGATATCTAGCAAATCTGGTGTTTTATTTTATAGCATTTCTAGATGATTCACTCACTTGACTCTGAAGTCATCAGCTGCCAGCTTGGCGTTATCAATGCTGAGATAGATGCCACCATTCACTGTGATGGCATTCTGGATCTACAGAATAGAGAGAAAGAAAGACGTCAGTGGAAATCTGAAGCTCTGGTTCCCAACCCAGTCCTCGGGGACCTGCACACTGTCCGCAGCTCCCAGCACACCTGGACCAGGTATTCAATTTGGTGTAAGTTTGAATGGAGCAAAAGTTTGAGGCTCCCAGAGGACTGGGTTAGGATCTAAACCTTTCATAAAAGCTCTCAGCAGAACAAAAGGCTTTGCTCAGATATCACTGTGATTCATATTCAGAGCTATTATTCTGCTAAGGTTTTGATGCATTCTCTATACTGAGGGTGTATCAGGTAAAAGGCTTTGAAGGTACGTCTTTGTTCTCCTCTGACTGCACTGCACAGCACAACAGGGTGTGGCCGAGAGAGAAGGTTGATTTCTCTACATAGCTCCGGGCAAATTGGCAGCAGACAGGAAGTAGGTCAAAGTAAAGACATGGTAGATGCTACCAATGAGGTAATGCAAAGAAGGTTGAGATCAGTCCAGGACTAATTAGCCTTCTAATTCTGCAGATAATTTTACAGATTTTTGATGTGGTTTTCTTGGCAGAGGAAAATAGGATTAAGGTACAACCACCAATATGCACAAAGGTTATTATGAGTTTTTATTATGCAGTTCTACCTTTGATCAGAATGTATATCTATTAAAACAGTCCACATAAGTCTGGTTTGCTTTACTTAAAACCTACATGCATTAAAGATCTTCATCTACAGTTTCTTGCTCCTGAAAGCCAGATCTAAAATCCTTAATAACAAGTAATATGATGCAACAAGTTAGGCATACCTTGGCCTGGAGGTCACTGATGGTGGTGTAGAAGGCAGAGTAGTCCCGAGCCTTGGGGGAAGCCTTGCTCTCCAGGAACTGGCGGATCTTCAGCTCCAGCTCAGCATTGGCCTTCTCCAGGGAGCGCACCTTCTCCAGGTAGGTGGCCAGACGGTCGTTGAGGTTCTGCATGGTGGCCTTCTCATTTGCAGACACGTCCACGGCGTCGGCCAGGTTGAAGCCGCTTGCCACGCTGCTGGCAGAGGAGATACGAACCCCAGATCCTCCGGCTCCACCATAGACGCTGCCGGCCCTCCTGCTGCCCAGGTGGATGCTGCTGGAGGCAGAGCGCAGAGGGTTGGCCCTCATGGAGCCGCCAGAGGAGACGAAGCTGTAGCTGGAGAAGTTGGAGGCCATGGTGCTGCTGGAGATTCAGTTCCCTTCTGCTCAGGCTGGAGGGGAATGAGTGGAGAGCGGAGGAAACCCGCTGCCTTTAACCCCGCAGGGGAGGATCCGGAAGGGGGGTCTGGGGGAATGTTCCACCCCTTAGGCAAATTCCTCAGAACCAGACGAACCTGTAATAAAGAAAGTAGTCCAGCGGAGACTTGATAAGCAATGAGTGGAATCTAGAACACTGTGATGTTGAAATATGATGTTGAAAGATTTTCCCAGCTGCCTTTTTAATCACTTCAGAAGTTTAAACACATCTGCTCTTAAAAAAGGGATAAAGAAGGTTATACAGTGAGGAGCAGTGAGTGGAGTCTCTGACTCTCTGGGGCTGAAAGAGTCTCACATTGTTGGTGGACAAACAGCCAATCGCCCAGCAGGTTCTTATTTTGGGCAACAGAAGTTGATTTCTAAAACTAGACCTGCATGAAATACCTTATCATGCAATGCTAGTCAGATTTGGACACACCTACTCAATGAAAGACGTAAAAACAACACAAAAGCAATCAAGCAGGGACTTGATTAGCAGCGGTTGTGCTGAAGCGCAGTGTTGCATGATATCTCATCGTTATTCTCACGGCGTCGGTCGACAAACAACTAATGGAGCCTCAGGCACTTTCTTAACCCCTTTACATTCCAGGCTTACTACACACTAAGCCTTATTATTCAGTAACTACAGGGACTTCAGTGCAAACTAATACAGCTTTTCTTAGGTGACAGAAGTGTGTAATAAAACTTTGAGCTTGCAGGCCTGTGGCTTGGTCAGAGGTCAATGCACCTGCATTCATGCACACATTTTTAAACCCATACAGCTGTTCAGGTGTTTTGTAAGAGGCTTGTAAATCCTGTTCAGCGTTTATTGCACAGTACTGGTTGTTGATGCTGTAACTGTGTAATTTATACTGAGTTTATTTAGTTAATTATACTTAATTAGCTGCTATTTATCTGTCTGCTCATTACTACTCTATTAAGAAGAAACTACAGTGAATTAAGCCTTTTCAGAACACTTTAACTGTTGGAACAAAACCTTGTATCTCCATTTTTTCACGTAATTTGAAAATGTCTGTTGTCCTTTATATTTTATGTTAATTTTATGATGAATGGACTAAAATAAACAGCCCAAAATGACTTTGAAAAACATCTGATTACTTTTAATGTAAGTCAATGTAAAGTTTTTTCCTTCTACTGTAAAGTTACAAGTTTGGAGATATGAGGTTTTGTTCCGACAGCAGTGATGTACATCTTAAACTTCATTTATCATGAATATGATGTTATTAATATGCTCTGAAAAAAGGGGGTTTTAATAGAATAGAACACCAAAGTGTCTGGGCTGCCTTAAAACGGTGGCTTATTTGAGCTTCAGATGATAAATAATAGGATTTAAAACACAGATTTATTTTTGCTAACTTACTATTTGAAATGCAGTGAAATCAGAATTTTTATTTAAAGATAAAACAACATTTTTTACGGTGCAGTCTCAGTGTTAGTGCTGCAGTGATTACTACAGACTAAATGCATTGTGGGGATATCAGATAAATGCATCTTGAATAAATAGTGAGCTCCCAAAACAGATTAAGACATGTTCCATCACAGACACATTCCGGTCTTGCCTTTTTAAACAAACTGCACTCAGATTAAATCTTTACTCTGATTTCTATCATATCATTTGCATAGTAAGCATAATAATGCTTACTTTGTTGTGGCTGCAATTGCGTAATTTCCAGTGATATCTTCTCGTAAATTCAGTGTAGGTGCTTTTTTCCATTGCAGGTACAGTCATGTGTAAAAGTTTGGTCACCCCTGGCAAAATTACATGTTTTGTGAGCGAAAATAACTCTGCAGCATTTAATGTAATGGAAATATATACATATAAAACATGCGCAGGCCATATTTTATGTTTTATTTTCCTCCCAAAGTGTTACATTTAGTAAATAAACTGTGTGGATGAGTAGATGAATAGATGAGTGAATGAGTAGATGAGTAGATGATTAGATGAGTGAATGAGTAGATGAGTAGATGAGTGAATGAGTGGATGAGTGAATGAGTAGATGAGTAGATGAGTGAATGAGTAGATGAGTAGATGAGTGAATGAGTAGATGAGTAGATGAGTAATTGAGTAGATGAGTAAATGAGTAGATGAGTGGATGAGTGAATGAATAGATGATTAGATGAGTGAATGAGTAGATGATTAGATGAGTGAATGAGTAGATGAGTGGATGAGTAGATGAGTGGATGAGTGGATGAGTGAATGAGTAGATGAGTGGATGAGTGGATGAGTGGATGAGTAGATGAGTGAATGAGTAGATGAGTGGATGAGTGGATGAGTAGATGAGTGAATGAGTAGATGAGTGGATGAGTGAATGAGTAGATGAGTGAATGAGTAGATGAGTAGATGAGTGAATGAGTAGATGAGTGAATGAGTAGATGAGTGGATGAGTGAATGAGTAGATAAGTGGATGAGTGGATGAGTGGATGAGTAGATGAGTGGATGAGTGAATGAGTAGATGAGTAGATGAGTGAATGAGTAGATGAGTGAATGAGTAGATGAGTAGATGAGTGAATGAGTAGATGATTAGATGAGTGAATGAGTAGATGAGTGAATGAGTAGATGAGTAGATGAGTGAATGAGTAGATGAGTGAATGAGTAGATGAGTGGATGAGTGAATGAGTAGATAAGTGGATGAGTAGATGAGTAGATGAGTAGATGAGTGAATGAGTAGATGAGTGGATGAGTAGATGAGTAGATGAGTGAATGAGTAGATGAGTGAATGAGTAGATGAGTGGATGAGTAGATGAGTAGATGAGTGAATGAGTGGATGAGTGAATGAGTAGATGAGTGGATGAGTGGATGAGTAGATGAGTAGATGAGTGAATGAGTAGATGAGTGAATGAGTGAATGAGTAGATGAGTGGATGAGTGAAAGAGTAGATGAGTAGATGAGTGGATGAGTGGATGAGACAGTGAACAGTTCTTTTGTGCTTTTTTGGTTTATCTCATTGTAAAACATGCTTTGATAAAACCCCTCCAACCCCCACCTTCATCCCCACTACGGTCCCCACTCACGCCTGAACCCCACCCACTCCCTGAGGAGCGTTCTCAGAGAGAGAGAACCTGAGGAACCGGTCTGAAGTGGTTGATTGCCTGAAGGTAGATTTCAGATAACGCTTTCATTTACACCACAACCCTTTCACTCTCACTCTCTCTCTCTCTCTCTCTCTCTCTCTCTCTCTCTCTGTCCCCCCACCCTCTTCATCTCTCTCACTCTCTCTCCACCCAACCACTATCTCTTTCTCTCTCTCTTTCTCTCTCTCTCTCTCTCTCTCTCTCTCTCTCTCTCTCTCTCTCTCTCTCTCTCCCTCTCTCTCTGTCCCCCCACCCTCTTCATCTCTCTCACTCTCTCTCCACCCAACCACTATATCTCTCTCTCTCTCTCTCTCTCTCTCTCTCTCTCTCTCTCTCTGCCCTCTTTTTCTCTCTCTCATCTCACAGTTCACAGTTTAACTGAATGTTCTAAAATAACTTACTGGATTTAAAACTAAGACCAATGTAAATGGTCAGATCAGGTGCTGGTCAGTCTTATCCACAAAACTCTGGAGTGTCTTCAGGTTCGCACTCCAATCAAGCAGAACACGTCATAAAGTACTGTCCAAAAGTCAGAGCGCTTCCCCTCCCCCGCTCTCGTTTATTTAATTTCCTCTTAAAACAGACTTTAATTCCCAGTGATTAACTGAACTAAATCCACTCTCAGCTGAGTGAGTCAGTGAGTCACTCTGTACCTTTATTCCAGCTCCCACTCTTCTCAGGAGCCTCACTTTCAGCTCCTCAAAGAATCTGCAGACACACCTCCAAAGTTCAGTCTTAGAAGCTGGTTTAGTATTTTCTGCTTCTCACCGTCCGAGCGGAGTGGGGTCTCTGACTTCGGCACAGTGCTGTATAACTAATCACAAACAAGTGGAAAATAACAGTGTTTCCCCCAGAGCTGCAGCTCATTAACCACAGTGGACACTCACACTTTACACTTAAACTGACCAAACCTCCTCACTGTATTACAGTAACTCCTCCTGTAGCAGGTAGATTATTTACACAGCTGTACAGATGTTCATGTCACTCTGTAATATTCTGTATATCACTGCTGTTGGAACCCTCGTATCTCCAACATGGTAACTTTACAGCAGAAGGAAAAAACATGCTTTAATGTAAGTCAATGGAACCAGAAAGTAATTTTGGGCTCCACAGTTTAGAAGCAGAATAACTGAAAGAGTCTCTCCACGTTTTCTGTGTTTTACTGAAGGAGTTCAGAAGGTCAGAATCTGCAGATCTGAGATCATAAACAGACGTTCAGGAGCTTTAAGGTCATTTAGAGCTTTAAAAAGCAGCAGCAGAGCTTTAAACTCTCTCTAACAGATCCAGGCGGTCAGTGCAGGTCTTTCTAAATGGGAGCGATGTGATCTCTCTCTCTTTTTTATTACTATTGTATTATCGTGTGCTATCTTTGGCTTCTTGAGAAGCACAAAATAAGTTTCATGTATTATTATTATTATTATTATTATTATTGTTATTATTACTATTATTATTATTATTATTATTATTATTATTGTTATTATTACTATTATTATTATTATTATTATTATTATTATTATTGAGTTGGTCGCCCCTGATTTGTGGTGAACTAAAGCAGCGCTCATTAAGGCCTCAGTTGTGAGAGTCGAGTGTTTTTGGAGACGTTTTTTGGAGAAAGGCCACACCCATCTGATATCAGACCATATATAAACACGCCCCTCACTGTCTGTGATGGTTCTTTAAGGGTTCTTTAGTAAAGACAGTGACTCTGCATAGACTGAGGGCTTCTCTCATTGGGTATGTGTGTGTGAGAGACTCTCGTCTCTGGCTCAGCTCTGCTCTATGATATAAAAGCAGATTAAAAAGTGCATCGAATGTTCGTAAATGAAATCGTCTAAAATCCAGTCAATATATCTAATATTTCTCATGATCAGATTACAGAAGGAAGAGTATTACAAGACTATTCACCCTAT